TTAAAATAAATTTATTCTTTATTATATATATATATATATATTATATAGAGTAATATAATAATATATATATGAATTAATCTTATAATAAATCAGTTATATACCACCTGGAACTCTAGTACCATTATCACCGTGTTATACATCTTGTTCTACGTCAAACAATTGTAACAGTAAGTATTTAAATATATATAATTACATTTTTTCTTCAAGTATTCTTCTATGAATCCATTCTTGTTTTTCTTCTTAGTACCACCTTGTCAACCATGTCAACCATGTCAAGCCTGTCCAGCATCCTGAATTAATATTTTTCTCATTTCGTTTTTGTTAAATTGACAAAAAGAAAAGAAAATATCGAAACTAATACAATTGTCTCAAATTAATAAGAAAAAGATAAAATATATTAGATTATTAATTATTTCATCATCTTATTTTTTTTTTCTCCCCTATGCACATTTACACTGTAATTAAAAAAACTTAAATTAAATATCTATACACATATACAAATAACATACAATATACTTTAAATATTTAAATCGTTTTTTAATAAGTATAAATTTCAATAATAATTATTTACAAAATTAATAATTCAATAATTAAATGATTAAGATTTCAATCTGTTTCTCTCGACTTAAAAAAAATTAAAAACTGTTTTACCGACCGAGAAGTTAAAACTGTTTTACCATCAGAAATATTAAAGTAACAAAATTGCGAAAATAAAGCAAGAAATTATTGTGATTTTAAAAGATTAACTAGTTTGCAATTATCTGCAATTATATTAATTAAATTATAAAGTATTACAGACCTTGAGATACTACTGTAGAAATTGTTGTAAATGTCCATTGATAAAGCGGTACTTTTTAATATTATTCCTTACAGTTTAAAAAAAACAGTACATTCTAAAACAAAAAACTAGATGAAAAGGGCATGTGTAGAAAAATGAAATTCGTTATGCAATCCGCGACCAAAACTTTTCAATTTAAATTATTTAATAAATAATGAAATTTAAAGAGAACAAAATTTAAATGACCAATAAGTGGACATTTAAAAATACCGAATTCTCGATGCATTAGAAAATGTGTTTTTCTATATTTAAACACAAGTGAATATGAAAAAATGCATGTCTCTGATGCATCCTTTTTTCAATATACAAATATATGAATAAAAAAATGTTTCAATTTCATACAAAAATAATCAATCGATTAATACAATTACAAATACACATAGGAAAGTTATTCAAGACACATTATGAGAAACTTAAATAATTATGAATATATCACAATTTTTAAAAATAAAATAAACAATATTGCACATTGCATCGTATTACAAAATGCATACGCAATTATGTATATCGCCATAAACAATAACCATAACGAGATGAAATCTATGTTTGATCGATAGAATACATAAATCTATTATTTAATTAGATTTATATTAACGCGAAGTATGCAGTTACATCGACGAGTGTCTAATGTACATATTACACCACTTAAATATATACAAGACACTTTTTTATTTTTAGTTAATTATAAACAAACCAAAAATAGTAATACAATTTCACAATTTTCGAAGCACATATTTTAAATAAATACGAATTAAAGTACATCAATGTAATATGAAATCTTAAAAGAAGAATAAATTGAAAATTCAATATAGAAAAATATTAATTGAACATTGAAACAATATTGATAATTAATTAATTGTTACTTCTTGCTTTAACAGATTCTATGCTAATCAAGTCTTATAGATTGTTAACCGGAATAATATGAGTCATTTTGATTATTAATTGGAAGGATGATTGACTCTAATTGAACTAATCAGATTAGTCCATATATTTAGAATAAAAAAAATACATAAAAAAATACGAAGAAATATGCACAAGGTGATAATGGATCTTCTGCGACCACATAGGAAGCTATGTTGATTAGGGTGAATATTAAAGATGAAGCGTATTACTAATCGTCGAAGAGTGCGAT